ATATAGCATTGAAAGATGTATACTTCTTCACATTCAGTCAGATGAGCATACTATCATGGGTCTTTACATGCAGGTCCGGTGGATGTCAACCATATAATCAATTTTGCATGGCCGACAGGGTAAATACTCAGAACACTTCAGGGCTGATCAGTGATGCTCCCAGGAGTCCTCAGTCCTGACTTCTGTCTAAACCTTTGGAAAGGGCAGACAGAATTTATGTCCCAGTTAATGAGAAACTATAACCTGGATTAAGACCTCAGAAGCCCTAATTCCACCCCTAAATTCCTCCTGATACCCATCTCCTTAGACATTCCGATTTATGGGCTCTCATTTCCAGTCTCTCCACCTGTTTCTGATACTTGTCATTAATCTTGAAAGCAAAAGCCACAACAGGAAATTGCCTTGTAATTATAGTTACTGTGGATGAAATGTTATGATTCTTTTTGGGTGCATGTCTGGAACTCTTTATGCTGACAAGTCCCAAAGCTGCTATGCCTTACAGTTTCAAATTTGAATATACCAAGAAATACAATATCCAACCGATACACACATTTATTCTAACTCCAGGTTTAAAAATTCATCTGTTTCTTTCCATTCAGATGATTAACAATTCTTTTCCTCTTTTTTTTTCTAGTTTCTCCTTTTGAAACATATCCATTTGACTGACATTCAAGAGTTTGCTTCTAGTATTTTCTAAGTTTCCTGTTTGGCTGAATGGGGTTGAGGAGTAGACACAATACTATCATACAGGTAACATTAGGTACATGTACATGTAAGGCATGGATTTACTGAGTTTCAATACATCTCAGGGTGTGCCCTGGTGCAAAAGTACCCCTCCTTCACTCCTCATTACCTGTACACTTCAAAGCTTTGCCTCCAGCCATTCCTCCTTACCAAGTCAAGAATGTTAGCTCAAGGTCACACATCTGAAACCAAGACTCAAACCATCCCTGAAGGAGACAGACTCAAGGGAGACTGCCTGGAGCAGAAGGATTCTAGTTAATCCTATCAGAAAACTTGAACAAACAGACCAATTGTCCTGCCTTTCTTATCAGTTGTAAAGGGAAGCCAGAACACTTTCTTTGAACAGAAACAGGTTTGTGCAGTATAAAGGAAAAAGCCATGGAATGACAAAAATGATGTCCAGACACTAGTCTACATTGTCTCTTTGTAAGTTCTGGACTTTTTCAGACATTCTTATTGGAGCTCAGATACTGTAGTGATAGACATATGAGATCTACACCTAACTGTTAATACTGTTACTCAAGAAACTATAGACTTTGAAAACTTCAGACATTTTCGAAAACTATCAAGTTGCTTGAGTAACTGTTTTCTGTGTGTGGCATGAATGGGATGTCTAATATAATATTATAATAATATTATAATGTCTAACCTTTGTCATTGACATATTCAGATGAAGCTTTTGTTTAGTGGCAGATATCCATGTTATAAAGGGGGTTTTAAAGGGACTTTAGTGACTACACGTAATTGACCAATAGGTAGCTGGCTAACACTGTACTAACAGAAGGCACATTTGAGTGTTAATGTAACCCTGGTAACCAATGCAATATCTTTGTCCCCCTGAGGTTAGCTCGGCTGGGTGAAGGTTAAGGTTAACATGCTCAAGGTGTGGCTCTCTCAGACATGAGACCAGCAGTTTGCAACAGCCTTTGGCAAGATATGCAGATTAAAGTCTAACATTCCAAAGTGTTAGACAAAGATACAAACCCCCATTACATGCAGTGGTAGGATTGCTACATGTACACACCACTGATCAATTATCCATTGTTAGTGCATGTAAACTGGGTAGACATCTGATTCTCAAGCATTTAATTGCTTTAATGACCTTCAATTCGATTCATAGTGTCATGAGTGAGAAACCTTGACACATCCTGGCCTCTGGTTCTTAGCCATGTCCAAAGTCATTACTAGTAATTTCACAGGAGTGACTGCAGGGCAGTCTACAGATTTTCTGGAGAGAGGGAGAATATACAGCTGGCTGAGGACAAAATAAACCTTTGATGCTGGCTTGTTTAGTTGGCTATGGCCTCACTTCTGAGTGCAGGTAATTTCTGAGTGGTGCAGGTAATTTCTGAGTGGTGCAGGTAATTTCTGTGTGGCGCAGGGTAAAATTCTGAGTGGTGCAGGTAAAATTCTGAGTGGTGTAGGTAAAATTCTGAGTGGTGCAGGTAAAATTCTGAGTGGTGTAGGTATGCAGAACAAGTATGTCAAGCCCTGGCCTGGCATGAAAATAGTATATAGCTGGCCACCAGCATGTCCAAGTGGCTCTATGGCCATAAGAATGTTGAGTACCTGCTTAAAATGACTTTGGTGTCCTTGAAGCTTACAAATGATATACAATTCCAGTTCACAACATGGGAGTCAAGTGGTGGGAAAAATGTTGCAACTATAAACAAACTTAGTCTTCTTCAATCTAAAATCTCATACATGGTTACATAGTACATTAAATGTGGGCTGCAAAAGCCATAATTTTGTTCCAATTAGTCCCTTATCTGACTTCACCTAGTACGCAATGCACCACAAGGTTACATCTACATTACATAGCAGCTGCATGAGCCATCATTTTCAAGCAGCCGTTTTCTGACATGTTTTAAATCAAACTTCACCTACGCAATACATACAAGGCTGTACATGACATGGCAGCTGCATAAGCCATAACCGACTATTTCTTTCTTCTGAGTAGACTTACCTGACACTTTTACATCAAACTTCACCCATGCCTTGAACTACACGACAATGTATCCAGATCAAACCCAGTTGTGCCTGCCAATTTTTCCCTGTAAACTAATAAAGACCATATCTTTACATGCCAATTTTTGGCCATCAAAGATGATGGATTGGGCAAAATTTGTATCCTCATGCAACATCCTGGGAAAACAGATGCAGGCTAGAACACTGCTGGAGACTTTTTTAATCTAAAGGTTCTGAATGGAAAAATTAGATGCCAACTCAGGAGACAAATGGGCATATCTCCGCCCAAGGTCAAGGGGTCAATCCTTCTTACCCTGTCCTAAAGATAGGATGTAAACTTTAAGATCTTTGTTGCTTTGTCCAAGATCACATTCAAAAAAAGACTAGTTGGGAAAAAATGCAAGGCAAACATGATTGTGAAAGATAACTTTGCCCTTCAACTTTTTGATGACTCTATCTTTGACATTTTAGTACTAATTGTCCTTGGAGAGTTTAGTTACAGAGGAAATGAAATGTCTGTTTGGATGTAAAACATCCTATCAGAATTGGCTGTAAAACATACAAAATGTCATGTATATAAGGCATATGATATGTTGGTGGGAGGTTATCTTTCCTGTAAACAGAAAACAGGTCTTTACTATAAAAGGTCAGAAAGTGTATGTACCAGTTTAGGATTCCCAGTGGGGAGGGGGGGAGGAGGGGACCTAACATGTCATGACCTTGTGTGCCCTTCAGCCATTCCAAAACAATCCTCCTGCACAAGGACAATTGTAGACCAATCACAGCACTGTGGGGCAGTGATAGGGACCAAATTAAACTCTAAGGATAAAGTAGTGTTGCAAATATGGAAACAATTTGTCCAATTTCTTATCGTGATGATCATTAGAGAACACTTTGGAGGTAACCTTGACCTGGGCTGCACATATTACATGGGAACACCCTTACATCCGGACACCTCTGTGATTTGATGCCCCTATATATTTTCAGACTCCCCTACTTCCAACATTCATATAGGGTTTGGGTTGTCGGAACATAGAAAATGTAAGAAAAGTGTAAGAAAATAGTGTGCATGTTTGTGTGTGTGCACATGTGTGTGTGTGTGTGAGTGAGTGTGCGTAAATATAGAGGCATTGGAACACAGGGGTGTACATTCAAAGTAACATCTCCCCCCCCACCACACACACAATCAAAAATCCATAAAATAACATGTATTTCAGTAATTACGGCACGGTTGATAAAGATGATGGTGACAACCCAAGAGAAACCAAAAACCTACTAACCATCCTGTGAGAGGTGCAGATAACATTACAAAGTCATGCAATAACCAGACTTTCTTCTCAAGCAAAGAACTTCAAACAAATAATTTGTCTGCACTTCACAATCCAATTAACCGTAGAGATTAGACATCTGTTGCCTCAAGGTTACCCAGCATTCAATTTCTCCCAATTTTCTGCTGACCTGTCATCACCTTGTGGGTCAAGGGTCAACCATCCAGGCAAGGTCACTACAGAGGTCAAGGTGGACAGATTGATTACAGTCTTGTTATCTGGGGTGATGGGTTTTTAATACGGACTAATGACAGACGTCTATAAAAACTGTAAATAACAATTACAAGCTTCGGCTTAGCTTATTTTTTCAGGACTGCTGTCTGGTCTGGATGAACTAGGACCTTGAAGCGTAAACCAGTGGGCTAGAACCTTGGTTGCCTATCCTAGTTAGGTTTAAACCTTAGTGAACAGACACCCTTGTATCCTACCTTGTCCCCCCAACGACCCTGGTCAAGGGACAAGGTAGGTAGGTAGGTAGAATAGATACCCTGGCTTTCTGTACAAAAACATTCACAAGTTTACATGCTATGGAAAATTGGCAAAAATCTACATAGTGCCTTTTACAAACTAAGAAACTGGCCAATCATTTAATACAGTTTGCAACAGTCCAGCCAACAGGCTAATATGGAGACCAACAAAACTGTAACTGTAAGTTAGTGCAACCTGCTTGCCAAATCATAATGGTAGTACGTGTAGTAATTGAACATAAATACTGACCACAGCGCTTGCCTTGCTCAGGCACAGTTCTGGATACTCACAGGATAGTCCAATATATCCAAAACTGTGCCTGCAGCTGGGGCAAATCTTCATCGAATTTCATGGATACGCAGAGACTATCCAGAACCATGCCGGATACTAGCCCTAACCAATTCAGGCATGGAACTATATAGGCATGGTTCTGTATACAATATGGCAAGTATCAGTACAAACAAATAAACAAACACAAACAAACAAGCGTACCTTGTAGTAACAGAGCTGCATGTAGTCATAGGGGACCCTGCTGTCCATCTCCTGCTGGATCTCATTCACCCCCTCCCACCGCATCCCCCCCAGACTGGCCTGCTCACAACGGTCGGTACACGCCGCTCGCTTCATGAACTTACGCATCATCTGGGAAAACAAAAAATTTAATAAAGATAAGAAACTACGTTGATGAAGGTCTGACATCCAGGTAATGAGATACACAAGAAAACAGTTACTCCAGCAACTGGCAACTTTCAAAAAATGCTTGATGTAACTGTTTTCTTGTGAAATTTTCAAACTGATTTTTTTTCTGCTGAAAGAAATTATGAGTGTTTTAGGACTGAAGCCATTTTATAATTTGATTTACTAGATGGAAGTACGATCTCCATAAACCTCTACACTGGTAATATACCGAGGAAACAAAGTAACTGCAAATCTTGAAAAGTCTGCCCAAAATCATAAATATTAACCTGCAAATGACTCAACAAACCCAAGACAAACGTTAAGGATGACCCTAACCTGTAAAGTCGAGTGTCCCTCAAAGCTGGGCTCCACAGTCTGGTTGAAGCAGCGCTGGCGACAGCGGAACTTGTGCGCGGCCACGTGTTTATGAACCATGACTGCCTTCTCCATGTACCAGACACAGCGCTCCCATTCCTCATCAAGGTACGCATCCTTACCCTGGAATATAGTACACAGAACAGGTTAGCATAGCATCAAGGTACGCATCCTTACCCTGGAATATTAGTACACAGAACAGGTTAGCACGGCAAGGTACGCATCCTTACCCTGGAATATAGTACACAGAACAGGTTAGAACACTGGAGCATATGAATATTTCCTTGTTTGTTGGTGCCTTAGTACTTGTACCAATCCTACTCCTTAAAGTGACTGTTAAGTAAGGACAATAGCCCTGTACACCTGTCAAAACAAAGAAATGCAAAATAAAAACATAAGAAATATAAATATTTGATCCACATTCCATCAGCTAGCTCTCTTGAACCGCTAATTGTGATGGACAGTAAGGATATATAATAAGTTCTGCATATTTAAAATAATGAAAAAGAACTTGTAAAAGTACAAAGGGTAAAGAATAGATGTTATATTGGATAAGTGAGTAGATTATCTCCTAAGAAAGGCCTGCTAACTCAAAAGAGTTCTTCTATATCTGGATTAGTTCAGTTTTCAGACTGAATTTTTGCATACAACCACATCTGGAAAGTCAGCCAGTGGTAAAGAAGCCACAAGTTGCTAGAGGTTAAAGTTAAGTAGGACACCATCTTGTATGTCTCTATGTAGAGGACTTGAACTTCTGACCCACATTTGTGAAACACACTTGCCCCTTCTGCCAATCGGATTATTCTAAGTTCCCAGTTGTTGAGCAGGGCCTGAGAGTTTGGTCAGGCTGAGTCAAGGCTAAACTTTTGACCTAGTGTGAAGCCCGTCTTACACATAGCCGAATATGGCCTCCAAAACCCTGCTGAACTCCTCCAACCATGGTTTATGAGGGGTAGGTTGGGAGCAAGGTCAGCTACTGTTTGGGTGTGGAAGGCTAGGGAGGTTTGGCCAAGGTTTTGAAACAAGGTCTAGTGGTTAGGACTTGGGACCAAGGCCCAGGTTTGATTCCCGGTGTAGGAACCACTGAAACAAGAGGCCAGTTGAAACAGAAAGACACTCCTGGCCCTAGGCCAGGGATCAAACCCACACCGAACCCGGGCGCCAGTTCACAACCCAACACTTTAAAAATTCGGCTAAAAGGTCAAGACAGGTTGGTAGCACTTATGAACCCCCCACTTTTACAGTAACTGTTGGCTAGCCTGGATGCCAGACCCAAAGCACACTGAACACAAAATATCTCAGTGTGCAGATACTGAGCGTTCGAGTGGCAGGTCTATCTGGCCCTACCAGACCCTTGCACACTGAGATGTGTGTCCAGCGTGCTTTGGGTCTGGCATCCAGGCTAACTGTTGGCTTGTGTTGTGGAGTATGCAGTGGTCAGGTTTGTACCACCTGTAACCATCGGTGGCATATCTGACCAGGATACTGCTTATACAATAATGATAATTCTCATGCAGCCACAAAAAGATCTGCTTGGAGATTACACTTTTCCAGTTGTGTCCAGGCACCATGAGGCCCCATTAAAGGAAACTTTTGTAAGCCTCTACACTCTTTGACCAGTCCTGTGAGACAAGGCTGTTTACAGAACTGGTTAAAACAACATACAGACATCAGGGAAAGGTCCTGGGAGCCTGCTGCAAATATTTACTGACATTTCCTCCTGTCAGGTGATGTTGATTCACCTCAATCTTACACAGTCACTCATATCCTTCAGGGCTCGATATTCATTTTGGGATATATCTAACATAAAAAATTCAAGTGTTTTGGTGCGATATATCCTATTGGCTACGGTCAATTTTGTCACTGACTGACACAGAAATCTCATGTCCAAAAGCAGTACAATCAGCTATATACAATGAATTTGAGTAAAGAGACTCTTTATACACAACCAAGTCTTTTATTCAGCTGACATTTCGGTGACCGTCTGTCACCTTCCTCAGGGCAGGTTCACATTGCAGCACACCTACAGGTGTCGCTGCTATAGATGCATTCTCGAATGTACAATATTTACATACACATGACAGACAGTTACCAAAACTTTGGCTGAATAAAAGACTTGGTTGTGGAAAAAGAGTCTCTTTACTCAGTGACTTACCAACCTGATGAAACTATTCTCGGATACAAGGAATCTGGCATGTCAAGAGTTTAAAAATGAAATGGTTGCTACATGTACCTTCAACCCTACCCTACCTGTGTGCTCTTTATTTGTCTAAGTACCTCAGTCTTTATTTATCTATGGATCAATGTTTATCACCTGTATAGCGCAGAGAGTGAAAAAACAAATATAAATCACTTTTATCCCTTTCCCAGTGCTACACTGAATTAAAACCACTGCAAAAGTTTCAGGATTTACAGTATGTATCAAACCCAGTCATCCTTATGTGTCTGCCTCCATTGCATTAGAAACCAATAACTCATTCTGATGTTATCATCCAAACTAATATTGCGCCAAATACCTATGCCTTATCTTTACAAGCACTTGACATACTGTAATTTATTTTAAAGTCACTTGTCAGTGTAGAGGTGTTATTTTGAGTTAGGAGGGAAATTTTTGTGGCAGGTTAAAAGGGTTCACATGTTAAAACATTTCTGTAGTACATGTACCTGAGTAGAGTAGATTAATGCAACACCTTTCTGTGGGGTAATGATTTCAGCTCAATGCAAACTTTTCAAGATTTACAGTAATTAGTCTATTTACTCTATAAACTTGCACAGCCACAATATCAAGTTACTTGCATTACAAACATTTACATATACATAATGTAGATAACATATCGCACACTCTTTTTCTGATACTGCACTGAGTGTCTACTGTAGTCAAAGCCCTACAATGTGTAAGACCAAGGCAGACAGCTTGCTTTAGAGTTTAGTGGTTGATATACACTAGCCACACACATGGTCTGAAACAAGACCACAGTACATGCTGGGACTGCTGGCAATGTGCCATATGTTCTTTTAAACATATGATGAGGGTGGGGGTGGGGGGCACTTCAAGGCTGAAGCCAACACAAATTATCACTTTTATTGACGTCATTCTCACTTGTTTTGCTCTAGATGATCCTCACACTGTTAGAGAAAAAAAAATTGTTGAAAACATATACAGTCAAACCTGCCCAAAAAGGCCACACTTGGGACCAAAGTAAAGTGGTCTTCTTGGACTGCAGGTGGCCTAATCGTTGGGCAGATGTGCTTACTACCTTTTGGTAAAAAATTCGGGACGGGGAAAAGGTGGTTGCTTTGTTATGGCCAGGTGGTCGGCTTGATAGTCACTCTTACTCCTATACACAAAAATCATAATTGCTGCCTGTCCTATTTCAAGCCATTAGCTTTATCTGAAAGTTGTGGTACAAAATGTACTTTGTATAAATATTAGTGATACTTTGTTTAAAGTGTTGGCCATTAGTCCAGCCAGTTGTCATAATGCCAAGTGTAAACTGGGGACAGTTATATATACATGTAGTCCCTGCTGCCTAGTGTACAAGTGATGTCCTTCAATTTTGCAAAGTCACATTTCACTCAAACTTAAAAGGACACTTCCGTTCCTTAAGTGAAAAAACTTGAAAGGTTTGAGAAATAAATCTTCGAAATGCCACGTACGTTAGCCAATGAAGTCCTGTTTAGCTTGACTCTGTTCCAACTGGTACAGAGCTTGGTGTGTGCTCAACTGAAATAGGGTCATTGAAAGGACAAGAAAGTGTTTTGGTCATACGGATTTTCCTTAAGGACAGAGAGTGACAAATTTATCTGCCGAAAATTTCTTACCATTTAAAATTGTCAGGGTTTTCCCTCATCTTTTTTTTGTGGGCTTTCCTGTCAAGTTTTATATATTTATATGTTCTTACTTTTTTTAGTTTTATCAGTCAAATGTAGCCTGAATGCCAGGCTGATCCCAGGGCCTACACAGGCTAACTCCCAGCCTTTTGAGCGAACATGCCCCCAAGGAAATTTTACCACAGCGTTCCTTTACCCACCTGACTTTGACCCTGAGAAACCCTTTGTAGCTTTTCTATATCCAACAACTGACATACATTTGTGCACCCCTATCCCAGAATGGTCTGTCCCTCATAAGGTCTGAAGACTATGTGGGTAGTTGAAGAATGTCTGATGGTAGATTTAGTCACACCATAAATGTTTACTCTCAGAATCCATGCTGTGACAACTCAGTACATGACTCATGTGCTGTCTATTTCCTTGTACAGAACTGTCAATATAAACACTATAAATGTTTGCATCAGTGGATGCCATGACATGTCTCACGTGTACTCTACTTTCAATTAAACTGAGGGTTAACTGAAGACATCATAAATGTTTTATTCTCCGGAATCCATGCTGTGATAACTCAGTACATGACTCGTGTGTGTAGTCTCTCTTCAATAAAACTGCCCATAAAAATACCACAAATATTTGTTTCTCTGGAGGGCAAGTCAGCCATACTGTGTTTAACTGACCATGACTCATGTCTGGTCTACTGACTCTACAAGATTGTACTGTCAGTGTCAACCTTTTAACCTTTAGAACACTGAGGTAGCCATTTAGCTACCAAGATCTACTGGTTATGGGGTTTGACGGCAGGAAGAAGGTTAAACATGTTATTGGCACCTTATAAGAGGGAATATGGCAAACTGCAGAAAAAAAAAAGAATTGTAGCTGACTGATAGATTGAACTGATGCATATTTACTAGTATTTGTTGACCCAAGAGGTTGCTTTCCAGACAATTAAACTTTTGCTGGCTTTCATGGAAAAATAGCAGCTTGTTTGAAATCAAGATGGAAACATAGCCAGTACAGTATCTGATGGTAGGATACAATTGACTTGACAAACAACACTAGATTACCAGTATCAGAAGCTGACATCAAATTAATCAACTACTATTGATGGATGCCTTTCTTATCTACAAAATGACTCTGCCCATATAGAAAAGACCCCACAGTTGAAGCTGTGTTTTTGCAACCTTTGCATTGGTCCCATTCCAAACTAGCTGCTGAGACAATGTGTATATATAGGCCACAGCAAGTGAATCTTATGGATGACATCCAGACATGCATTAATATTGATTTTATCTTGATTTAAGAAATTGAAAAATAAATTAGATTATACCTGTAGACATGACACTTGTAGTTGAGTGTAGTTGTAGTCTAATAGAAGGCTACCACACTTTTGTCAGTTTCTTTTACTTTATGAATACATTTGATCACTGGCTGTGATAAAAAGTTATGTTGCTCCAATTCTTGTCACAACATTTAAGGTCTCTATTTTGAAAATTAAGGCATCTTCCAGGTTATAGGTCTTGTAGTTTTTGCCAATCTTTAATTTTTTGGTCGCCTTGCATGTAAATAAGATCAGGAGTATACAGGGGCTGTCATCCATACAATTCACTTGCTCTGGCCTAAGACAATTTTAGCACAGTATGTAGCCCTTGTAAACATGCCTTGAGCCATACTTGACCCTGACATCTAAGTACCCTTGACCACTGATTAACTGTGACCTGGAACACTGAACACATGGTTTCTGGGCCACCGAGCTGACATTTTGTTTGCAAGAGCTTGTGTGATTAGTCTGATTCTTTTGTTTTTAAGGGTACTTGCATATTATGATGGCCTTTTCACTTTCTAAACCAGTATAAAGTTTAAGGCCATTTAAATGTCTTCCTGATGAAAGAGTTGGGTAAATAAATATCAGAGGTCAGTCCAACGTACTAGTACATGTGAAAAAGGCTATGTGTACCTTTCTTAAGGCGATTTGTCATGATCAAGAATAGTGATAACTTGTGATCACTGTGATTTACAAAAGAAGTCTAATAGATAGAAATGGCATTCCATACATATGTAAGGTGAGGAATTCAATTATGGTGACTTATATACAGATGTTGGGTGAAAAATTATAATGCTTTCTAACTAGTCAGCTTTTTTGTTGAGATGGTAGCTAACGTAGACAGTCAGAAAAGCTGACCATGCAGAAAATGTCATGATCTGCCCCCTAACATCTGCTTCGAGACTGATGATGACTGTGGAAAAAGGGGGTATAGGTGTAAAAAATAAAATGCTGCTAAAGCCTATACATACAGAATCTTTGAGAAATTCCTTACCTTTCCATACAGTTCGAAGTACGGAGTCTCTAGCAGTTCTTCCAGCTCCTCTGGAGAGCTTCCCTCCGCATGTTGGGCCACAAGTTTTTCAGAGAAACTGGCCAGCTCAGGCTGGAAGCCAGGAAACTGACACACCATCAACACACACACCAACAACCACGAGGAAGACATGTTGTACTTGTAGTAAACTCTCTCTCTCTCTTTAGCAAAAGAAGATGGCAGGAACAGGCTATAGATGTTTGTCTGTCCACTGCTAGATCTCTCTCTTCTGTCAGTCAGCTCTGGATACAATGATTAATCGCCAAGGCTGAGGAAACAGTTAATTAATCCTGGTAACAAATCCTGGAGCTGCCTCTATCTATTCGGTGTCTTCCTTTCAGCCTGTGGATTTTTTCTTCCAATCTCTTCAGCTGCCAGAAATGCAGGGATAGACTTTCACGTTACGGTAACAGTAGCAGCTACGAGTTACTGTAACATATCCAGGACGTTCTTCCACAAACTTCACTGCTGATTTAGCGGGAATGGCAGGAATGCTGGTCCCTTGACAACTGCCTGTCCGGATAGAAATGCCAGTAATGTACCGAGTGGAGACCGGGTCGTGGTAAATAACGAGCTGATTACAGCACAAACAGTCAACACCAGCTGTCGACAGCAAGAGTAAATCAAATCTCCATCCGCTACAAAAATCGAGACAATTTCACACCGAAAACAATAGCAGGGCGTGACGGCGTTACCACAAACCGTTTTACAAGGTGGTGTCTCGCCTTTCTTACGGCACGTGTTGGCGGTGGTCTCTAATGGGTTAGGCCGTCAGGGTCTTTTCCTCGGCCTGAAGATCGTTCCACCAGGGGACCGGCACACAAAAACACCGGCAACCAGAGACTACTGTAGGCGCCGCCGGCTCGGTAATCGGAAAAGGGGTCTCAAAACAAATAAGCCTAATGAAGGTCGAATGTCAGCTAAGCCTACGGTAGTGTACAGCCGAATGGCTCCCTCTTCAATCCCAAAGCAACTTTCTCGAACCTTTCTCTTGCTGTAGACGTCGTATCTTGAGCTGTCAGCTGCTTCTATGTTGGCAAGTTCTGTAGATGAAGCTTATAGATATGTCCGTTAGTGCTGGGGTGTGGGACAACAGCGCCGGTTTCCTGCGATGTCTAGTTCAGTCTTCCCGCCCAGAGGCTCAGACGTGCGTGATTTCCGCACCAACTTGAGATCTCTCCAGACATTTCCCGTGTCACTCAGACGTTCACAAACAGTTCGCTGAGTTATATACGCCTCTTCCTTCAGTTGTACGAGCCATGCGGGTGTGGGTACGTGCACGCACCACCGCTAAATTCTTCCTCGTGCCAGGCGGAAGCTAGCTTCCTTCAAACCCCATCTGTCCTGAGTTTACCTCCGAACCTGGAACGCAGCGACCCGGCCGGGTTACGGAAAAACGAAAAAAAATTGGCCGGTGAATCCTGAGGGGATTTGGATACTTTCCGTGTAACGTTCGCCCCTGTCTGTACACCAGGACCTCCGGTCTGGCCTCCCGCGGAGCAGGCGCGTGTTTGGCCGTGAACTTCACCGCCAGCTCACCGACACGCCTACGGCAGCCAAGTGCAGTCTACCCGCGTGGGCGGACGTGGTATCCCCGATGGTCCATCGGGACTTGAAAAACAGACATGCACGGAAAAAAATCGTGGATGCCCCGGCCTTCTGTAGGTCGAATACCTCTCCCACGATCTCAGACTCATTAAAAGTAATTTCCACAACGATGTACAGTTGTGCACTGTCCGCCGCCCCGATTTTACGGACAGAAGTTCTGGAGTGATTGAGTAAAGTAGATCAACGAGTTGACAACTCTCCGGCTTTGCGGGCTGGTCGCTAGTCTAAATCGGCGTTTCGTAGCGATTCTTCGGCTTTGCGTCCAGCAGGTCAGAGCTACGCATGAAATAAATCCAGAGTACCTTCCATAAACCATGAAAACTCCTTCGCAAACGGCCGAAACCACAAACTAAACAAGCTGTCAAACTTTTTCGGTACCTCCCACTCTGGAAATCGAGGTCATAGGTCAATCTCAAGCATGACGGGAAGAGGTTTCCAGTGTGTTACGACTCTAAGCCAACCAGCACGCAGTATTTTTACAAACAACCAATCAGCGCTCTACATTTGACAAAGATTGGCCAATAGACGAAACGTCTGAATCAACATGCAGATCACCAGGCCAAGATGGCCGCCGAAAGACGAAATTCGAGTCACTCGGATGTGTTAGGAACTTTCGGAACGATTTAGCGGCCTTTTAAAACGTATGTAGGCGATCGGAACCAATCAGAAATTTGTACAGACATTACAGAATCGATCTAAGTTATTTTTTGTTCGAGAGACTCCATGAGAGGCCGATAGAACGCCGCCATGTTAGAGAGCTGGGTCGCCTGGGTGGTGAACTCGTACGTTGGAGAGTACGTAGGGTTGGAATACCTGAACACTGATCAGCTATCGGTGGCTCTGGTGCACGGTAAGTCACATGTGTACGATGTAAACCTTTGCTGGAAAGACTGTATGTCATGTGATGCTCACGCAGAGCTTTTATGAGAGTCACTCGCGTGAAGGTGTCATTGAAAACATCGTCACGCCCCCTCTGGACTCTCATCAGTAGTACATCTTTTCACAGAGGTGTGAACAAGAGGTGGGGAACAATAACACGAATATGCTTCATTTTGAGTAAGGTGCTAAAACAAGGAAACTCCCAATTTCTTTCTTAATAAACTTGATTGATCAGGTTTTTATATTTGTGTAAAAAAGTTACAAAATGTTGAAAGGTTACTAATATGTACATATAGTATGATGGAAAGTACCTTGATTATTTATGTATAACTATAATAAGTGATATATCAGTAAGATCCCTCTCCCCTACAGGCTCCGTAGTCCTGGAGAACCTGCCTCTCAGGAAGGATGCTCTCAGGAAACTGGACCTGCCCATAGAGGTCAAGTCAGGTGGGTCACAGGCACAAGTCTTTATCATAAAGCAGACAATTTAAGATGGAAAACATAGAAGTTAAGTCAGGGTGATCACAAGCATACTGGCCTAGGAGCCATCTGTTTGTGTGCCCGGGTTAGCATTTCAAAATGGATGGCAGCCAGGCTACAAGCACACATCTTTAAGCTGACAATTTTAGACAGAAAATATAGATCTTCATAGACACTCAGTATCCCCCCCCCCCAAAAAAAAACCACACTAATTGTCATGATTGACACATTGGCTTTTGTTAAACAAGTGGTTGTGGATAAAGAACTTTGCTATTCAATCATTTACCAATCTAGTGAAATTATTCACAAATGAAGATTTATTTAAACTCTTTCTATTTTTTTCCGTGTCAGGATTTATCGGCCAGCTGACCATCAGGATCCCAGTCACCAACATCCGCAATGCACCCTGGGAGATTCAAATCAAGAAGCTGTACCTGGTGGCTGGAGCACAGCCCAACCCACAGGTCAGAGGTCAAAACTACCTGTGTCTACAGTGGTAGAAGTACTTTTTTCAGTGTTCTGCAATATTGCAGATTGTCAAAATTTAGTTCTGCAATTCAGAAATACTTTCTGCAAATATACACTAAATCCTCAGTGACCTAAGAATTCAGTCTGCAAAACTGCAGGTTGCTTATTAGTAATTTATTTTTCTTCTGCAATGTTGAAAATTTCTCTACAAAATGTAGACTGTACTCTCATCTGCCGAATAAACGTACCGGTACGTTTATTTTTTTTGGCCCGAACGTCCACCCGGTACGTTCTTATTTTGCACGGTACGTTTATTAATTTTTGGAAAATCAGTAATTTTTTTTTGAGTATGCATGAAAAAAAAGACAAATCTTCGACTTGAAGACGTTTATGAACGCGTATTATAGCGGGAAACTTGTCATTTTTGGGCCTGTTTTCGCCGCATTGAGCATAATTTGTGGCCAATGACCGGGATGGCCTCTCAGGTTCCACCCGGTACGTTGTATTTTGGACGGCACGTTTACTAAAATTTTTCAAAATCAGGTATTTGTAACAACATATTACCTCCCTTTTAGATGTAAGTCATATTTAGGAACACGTATTGTGTCGGAAATATGAGCTATGACGGACGTTATAAGTTTTATTCCAACGCTACCAGGAAAATCGTCTACCACATGGTGTCGGTTCAATTTTGTAGCATCTTCCCACACTCGCGGTGCAAAAATCATTCGCTCCTAGTAGCAAAGTTACCCATAAAAATAAAGGATATAACTTCCCCTTTCCTGTGGTGTATTTATTTAGGTTGTAAAATGTTGCAAACGCCAGAAATTTGCCGATGAAACGGCGCGTCGTGAGCCGAGCGCCCGGGTTGCGGAAATGCGGCCGGCTCCCGCTCGCTATTGCGAAATCACCCTGACTTAGTGCGCTTGCGCATCGCCGTCTTAGACCGCATCAGAATGAAAGTAGCACCATTCGAAAGCGCAGATTCCGAGCTTAAAAATGGTGCCAGGAACATCGGAAAAATTTTATTTTCGGGGGGCTAAACGTCCATTTTTAACAATTTGTCGATCTTTTTACATCAATTTGACCACCTAAATTTCATTTTCCCGTTTTGTCACCAGTGTCAAAATGACGGCAAAAAACAGGGCTTTCCGCTGATGTAATCGGTAGTTTTCTCGAATGCACGCCGGCGAAGCGCAACGCTAGTTTTACTGATGAAGTCATGGTAAGGCCATGTTGATTTGATTATATGGATGACATCCGCGCGCGCATGAATTTTCGGCCGTTTCCAAAAAAAAAAAGTTTTCAACCATACTGTAAATCGTACAAAACAGTTGCAAAATGAGCAAAAATATACCGTAAGTTACAAAAAAATAAGTAAAAACTATACCAATGTCGTAGAATGCCAAAATCAAACAAAAAAAGACGAAATTGTAAGGAAATGAACTTGAAGATTAGATTATTCGCCAAACCATATTCTGTCCCATGTGTTCAACCCTCATGACCACGTAGATTTCATAATGAAAACTAACTTTTTTTTTTGACTAAAACTTTTTTTTTATTCGCACGCGCGCATCAGTTTTGGGGCTCCCGGAGGATGTCATCCATATAATCAAATCAACATGGCCTTACTGGAGACGTGGTCTGATACGGTCTCTTATCCCCCGGAACAAAGCTGCCGGGAAGACGAAAATGTGGACACGGTCAAGACCACCCATGCGGCTACATGTAGGTCATTTCCGCTGGTCTATAGATATGGGTCAATCATTGGGATCGACTATCACAAAATCATAACTATCAATTAGTAATGTATCGAATCATTGCCCAACAGTCAATACGTTATGTGGACATAGTCCCGTTAACTTTCAGTCTGCCAAGGTATGGCCGTTTGGGACCAAATTTGTATTGGTTAGGCAACAGGTAGTTAGCTGACTCATAGACAGATAAACGTGATGCTACCAAGTATTGGGACGTAGAATACTACGGTTTGATTCATAGGAGTTGGAGCTCACCTCATGTCTTCCACATCCGTGTCCCCGACCTGCCTGGTCCGGTACGCCTCCCCCCAGGTCAGGTCCGCCCGCCCTCCCCAGTACACGCTCTGGAAAGTGGGACGTATCTCCTCCCCGGCGTCAAGAGAGTAGATGAAGATGGACCCTGTCTTCTCCGCGGCGATGAAGAGGATTGTTTTCTTCCCCAGGTGACCCACAGTCAGTGACTGAGGCTCTGGTCCCTACAAACACACAGTATTCCGGAGTTATGTGAAAGACGGACATT